CAGACACCTTCAGGTCCCTGCCTGCCATGGACAAACGGACATCCTTGGCAAACTCAATTGGCAATCTGGCCAACAGCTGCTCGATCACCACAGGATCGGTATCGCTGTCACTCTTATGTCCAGACAGCTCTAACAGACGGCACAGCTCGGCAACATATACCTCTGGACTTTCGTCCACTTTCAGCTGCCGCTGCTTAAACAAGCGGTACGCCTCACTGCGGCTCACGCAGAAGGACTTCCGCAGGATGCTCCTCACTGCATCCTTATCTCGCTTCTCCGTCTCACTCAGTTTGGAGAACACACGGTGGGCTTCGCCCTCCAAGAACAGCGGCAACCGTTTCATCTGTTGCTCCGTGCTTGTCCACCCCGATATATCTGCCAGTACTTCAAACTTCGACCAAAACATGTCGAAGTCGTCCACTCGGCCACGATACGGCTTCACGAATCCATCCAACTTAAGTGACGACATTTCACTGTTGACAGAAGACGCACTGTCACTAACACTAGTATGATCAGCACCACCTTCACTGTGCCTGGATTCCACGGATGTACTATCCTCAGGACTCCCAGGAGTCAACAAATTTTCAATGTCACGATCACGATGTCCAGGCGCCTGCGGAGTTGTCGGTGTGCTACTGATACCCCTGCCTCGAGCGTTCCTAAGTCTAGGAGGCATCGACTACCAGGCCACAACAGCACGCTTCGTCAGCACTCTACCAGTGCTCAGCGAACAACACACGACACGTGAACGATCGATCCGGACACAATTTACGAATTCAAGAAAATTCCAATTCGAAACCACGCTCGTATTCTCCGGTCCAAACCAGCGGGGTTTCGGCACCACGTTGTTACTCCACCACTATGCTCTCTATCTCTTCCAGCTAGCACTCCAGCACACTCGCACATGCACTGAGCCACAACTATCAACAAGGAATCAAGAGAGTTGAAATATTGAAATAGTGGTAAAGTTGGGAGAAAAGAAAACTGTTCTTTTTCCACGAGATCCAAGATCCATCAAGAAAAAGGACATGCACAAAATGGCGACCATGTCGTCCATTGACGCGTAATCATGGTAATCACAAACTAGTGCAGCGACCAAAGAAAAGACACAAGTGAAGAAGAAGAAACAGCGCTGCAGCAAGAAGATCGGATCGCTGCAGTCGCTAAAATGCACTACAGTAAGATCGGGCGCCGAAGAACACCCCACCGAAGAACACCCAGGCTGGAAAACCGGCAAAATTTAAGAACAGTCCAGGCTAGAATTATCAGATTTAAGAACACTAGATCTACATTGTACATGTATGGGAGGTGAGTACATGTCATGTACACGTGTAAACAGTAACTGCTACATGTACAGTCATTCCCATTTACGACACCCACTAGTTTAGAAGTACTACATTGCACTACAATCTACATGTACATGTACATGTACATGTACATGACAAACGTCATGACGTCACTCGACTCGCCGCGCGCGTGTGAATAAGAACGGTCTGGCTAGAATCAAAAAATTAAGAACTTTCCTAGGCTGCGCTCGAGCCCCTGCGTTCTTCGGCGCCCGATCTTACTGTAGCCTACTGACTGTAGTTCCACGTGAGCATGCAGTCACGTGGTCATAAACAGAGTGCGTACACACTCACGTCATACCGATACGTCATACATGACAAAAAGAAAAGAAAGGAAAGTCACGCGCGAGTCAAACAAATCAAAGAGCGCGAGACTACGTACTGCAAATACTACGAAGAATTATTTGTTTGAGAACAAATGCACAAGACGAGGAATTTGTTGAGAACAATTGGACAAGAATATATATCTCTTCGAAACTAGAATGGAGTCCGTGATGAGAATTCCAACGAGCCTGGACGCAGCTACAAAGTAAGAATACAATCAAATAACTAATATCATCAGAACTATTGTAACAATACAAGCAGTCGATTTACCACAGTGTTATCTCTATATTTACAGGGTATACACATGACTTTCATACAGTTTGTGTATGATATGGAGGGTAGTCACATGACTTTCATACAGTTTGTGTATGATATGGAGGGTAGTCACATGACTTTCATACAGTTTGTGTATGATATGGAGGGTAGTCACATGACTTTCATACAGTTTGTGTATGATATACTGGGTATACACATGACTTTCATACAGTTTGTGTATGATATGGAGGGTAGTCACATGACTTTCATACAGTTTGTGTATGATATGGAGGGTAGTCACATGACTTTCATACAGTTTGTGTATGATATGGAGGGTAGTCACATGACTTTCATACAGTTTGTGTATGATATGGAGGGTAGTCACATGACTTTCATACAGTTTGTGTATGATATGGAGGGTAGTCACATGACTTTCATACAGTTTGTGTATGATATGGAGGGTATACACATGACTTTCATACAGTTTGTGTATGATATGGAGGGTATACACATGACTTTCAAACAGTTTGTGTATGATATGGAGGGTATACACATGATCACCTCAGCAGTAAACACACATTGGTGACCTAAAAGTTGATCCGGCGATGGCCTGACCAACCGGACCGGTTCCGCCGGGCCTGAATCTTTGAGCTTGGATATTACAGCACTCAAGGGACCGCTACTGCACTGCGAGTGGTGGACCACGGCCAACGCAGCAGTGACAATATCGAAATAAATTGTCCTGCAAGCTACATCGCGATTCCGCGTTCCAATCATGCAGCAAAACCTTGGCAGTGTGCAAGGGTGCTCCAGGATCGACTCTGGCTACACCAGAGTCGCCCTGGGCAGGCAGAAAACTTTGGAGAAAGCCAAAAAAACGGAGTTCAGAAAGTGTAACCTGCCCAAGGAGCACAAAACACACACATGCAAACACACACACACACACACACACACACACACACATACACACACACACACACACACCTGTCCTGTCCTGTCCTGTAGAGTCACTGCCGCAAAAGGGTCACGTGATCCCATCACTGGGAAACTTGAGAAGAGAGAGAGAGAGGACACGACGCTCGATGACGCTCCAGGTGCACGGGTAGTCGCATCCGCTTGCCGCATATGCACACGTGCTGGAAGGCTGAGCGCTCCGCTGCTGTTGGTCTATGAGCCACCCTTGAACAGCGATGCCTTCCCCGTCCCCGGACACCGCGAAAGCAGCGACCACACCTGTCACAATGCGCGGCACAACATCCCTCCGCCGGTGCCGACGCTCCGGTAGTTCCAGGTGGCACTGCGGCATCCACCGTTGAGGCACACACATGCCGGACCAAGCCACCGCGGCTTCTCAGCCACCGCCCACACCGCCCGCACTGACTGGCGCCCCGCTGCTCAGACACAGGCCGCGCACGCTCCTCCAGACACCTATGCCGAGCCATGTCTCCTTTCCGTGCAAAATCCCGTCCGCATACCGTACATACCACTCGGGGCGGAGGCTCAGGCACATTGTCAGGCTCTTGGTAGGTGCTGCGCCACTCCGCGCGAGACTCACATGCAACATCATACCATGATGCCTCCACGCCACGGGCACGTAGATCTCGGACAGCACAGTCCTTCCATCTGCGGCGTGGGCCATGTGCTGGGCGACGCGGCAAGAAGGAGCCAAACAGTACCTGTTTTGGGATGCGGTTGTCCGGCATCCGCGCCACATGCCCCAACCACTCCAACCGCCGATGTGCAATTTTGTCTTTAATCGTCTCGGAGTCTCCCCAGCGCACCAGTAGCTCTTCATTGGTGATGTGTTCGTCCCACATCCGGCTTCGAGAGACCCCGAGGATGGATCGGATGCACCTCATGCTGAAGGAACGCAGCCATCTCGCCACACATCTCCAAACAGCTCCATGAGCTTGTTGTTGAGCTCCTCGCCACCGAACTTTAGCAACTCTGGCTGTATCCTCGATGAACCAGCAGCGGTGCCATTGCGAAGTCGAGAAATGGCCTTGGAGATCTCATGCATGGTTGGTGGTTCCTCAAGGCTTGACACTACAGGTCGCTGCTCAACGCAAGCCATGATATCGGGGTTGTACGAGCTCTCTGGGTTCAGGACAGATGTGAAATGCCTCTGGAACCGCTTGCATTGATCCTCAGTCGACTGGCACAGGTTTCCATTCTCGTCCTTAATGGCGGAAGTCTTGCACGGAGTTAATCCCTCACATGCAGCGTGGATAGCATTAACGCATTTCCAGACGACTGCCCCATTGAAGCGCGCCTCTGTTGCCTCCTGTGCCTTATTCAAAATCCAAGCCTCTTTGGCATTTACAACGGCTGCGCGCGCCTGCGATCGAGCAGCCCCGAAGCTGGCCCAATACGTGTCGCCCCTCTGCTGACCGTGGGCAAGCCACTCCGCGTAGCACTCATTGCGGGCGCGCAGAAGGGGCTGTATGGTTGCAGAGTTGTCATCATACCAGTCGGCCTGACGGCGTTCGCTCGGGCCCAATACATCAGCGGCTGTGGCAACCACGGTATTGCGCACATGGGTCCACTTCTCCCCAACGCTACCATCGCTGCTCCAGCAATCTCGCAATCCAGCAGATAAAGCGGCACGATACTTGTCCGCGGTGGTCACGCAGTGCGGGGGGCGACGTCCCACATCGTTGACGTCTTGTAACGTGGATGCGCAGGAATCCGATTGACACACACACACACACACACACACACACACATACACACACACACATGCCAACACACACACACACACACACACACACCTTGACCTTGACCTTTGACGCCCATCGCCGGAGGCGATGATAGCAATGCTACGGCAGATGCCATAGCAACTTGTGCTGGGATTGCACCATTCAACAGCTTGCAAGGCTGAAGAATTGACCGTCACTATTCAGCCTGGTCTACACCATACAGCTATTTGAAGTGACTTTTTCTGGCCAGTGAATTCCTATTTTTGGTCTTTTCATTTTTTTCCCACACACACACACACACATGCCAACACACTTACACGCACGTACGCCTAACAGTTAATCATGGCATACTAAGGTCATCTGCATGCCTCCTCACCCTCGCAAATGATCCACAACAATGTGACCGGGGACGACATTCTCATCGAGCACTCGGACAATCTGACGCCACGTGCCATCTAGACGAGCTACCTCAATCGTGGCACGTCCACCTGGGTTCGTAGCAGTCCAGTAGAGCAGCTTGGAAATCCAATCAACAGCAAAGCCTCGAGGTTCACCAGTGTAACCCTGCAGGAATCTTTTAGGAACGGTGCCGCCGGGCGAACCACCTAAGAAGTCCAGTGTGGTGGTGTGGATTTGTGTTTCATTTGATGTGAAGTCAGCATAGTAGACCTGCGGGGAGCAGGAGCAGCGGCAGCAACAGCAGTGGCAACAGCAGCGGCAACAGCAACGGAAGAGGAGAAACTGAGCAGCAACTGAGCAGCATTCACAAGTTTAAAGCTAAGTGCCCAATAGCGGCAGTAGTTGCAGCAGCAGCAGCAGCAGCAGAAATACAGCACTCTACTGGCAGTTGAGGACTCATATACAGGCACATGGAGAGACTATAAGATAGAGGGGGTAGAGATAGATAGATAGATAGAGATAGATAGATAGATAGATAGATAGATAGAGAGAGAGAGAGAGAGAGAGAGAGAGAGAGAGAGAGAGATAGATAGAGATAGAGAGATAGAGAGATAGATAGAGAGAGATAGATAGATAGAGAGAGAGAGAGAGAGAGAGAGAGAGAGAGAGAGAGAGAGAGAGAGAGAGAGAGAGAGAGAGGAGAGAGAGAGGGAGAACGAGAGAGAGGGAGAACGAGAGAGAGGGAGAACGAGAGAGAGAGAGAGAGAGAGAGAGAGAGAGAGAGAGAGAGAGAGAGAGAGAGAGAGAGAGAGAGAGAGAGAGAGAGAGAGAGAGAGAGAGAGAAGAGAAAGAGAGAAAGAGAAAGAGAGAGAGAATTCGGAGTCAAAGAATAGAGAGAGAGAGGGTGAACTCAGGCATGGCAGAGGAAGGGCAATGCTCTTACCCTGCTGACACCGTTGTCATTGTGTACATAACCCAGGGGGATGATATCCTGGCCACCGGTAACAATGGCATTGAAAATCTGGTTGGTACGATTTGATAACTCAATAAGACGAATCTCATTGGTGACACTGAGCAGAAGGAACAAAGGAGCACCTGCACATGCAGAGGACAGACACATTTGGATTGCAAGGACTCTACTTTTATACCTGAATCATGCCATTTTTTGCTATCCCTCAAAGCAGTGTAGTGCTGATAATCACATCAAACTTCGATTTTCTGAGGAGTAACTTCAAATCATCCAAACTATATGGCGAACCGATAATCATGGATGTCAAATTGTAAAGACACTTCAGAGGATCTTCAATGTGTGTTAGGCATACAAACCGAAGTTCCTATGACGTCCATGCACGATGCCAGAATGCGACTCTTCACTTCAATCTGAAGACGATTCGCTTGTCGGTGATGACGGAGCTTGCTCCGACACCTCGTCAAAGTGATTCGTGAGAGCGACAAGCCAGCAGCAAAGATGATCACTCGCAGCGTTGGAGGTCCTAACATTGTAACAGTATATGTGTGTGCAGGTGTATGTTTGGTCAATACAAGCGGGGGTATAAGCGGGGCACATTACCCCTGGAACCCCGGCCATGCCCAGGTCTTTACCATCACAGTCGACGAGATTTCCAGAAGGACAAACGGGTGTTGGGGAGAAGGTGAGAGGTGGAGGTAGTGCTGTAGGGTGAACAGCAGCGGCAGCAGCAACAGCAGCAGCAGCAACAATAGTAGTGCAGGTTTTGCGTAGCTAAACTATGTTAACGCGGTGACGTAATGTTCTCACTGTATGCTGATGTCTATGTTCGCGCCAGCTCACGGATACGCCGTCGTGCGCATGCGCAAACTCTCTCAGCAGCTCGCTGTGCATATGTACACCTTTCATTTCAACAGCCTTCGTGCCTGGCTCTCGTTGTTAGTTGCATTGGATTGCATGACTCTTGCTCCGTTTTTTTCACCCACCCACCCACACCGATTTCATTGTGTTACAATTCTCATTCTGTAGCGCCCTGTTATGTATACCATTCACCTCATTAGTCTTCCAAACTCACTCTGGTAAACAAACAAGCAGGGATTGGGCACTGAACTCTCAGTAGCTGGCAGCATTCTCTCTACTCTCCCGAATCAGTCTATACGGTTACTGCCCTTTGCAGGTCAGCCGCCATTTCGGTTTCAACGTGACTCTCGGTCCCCGCCTCTGTCGGGTCGGCCGCCTTCATGGTTACACACTGCCAGCTCCTTCGCCCAGTTACCCTGTGGTGCCAACCAACCATTGCTGTGTCTGTGTGTGGGTCGTGTATGCCTCTGCGTACAGAGCATGCGTTAACGGCGGCCCAATCACCGGGCAGCGGCACAGGCATCAGTGACACCAAATACAATACTCGCCAAAAAATTCCGACCAGTGCTGTACATGGTAGTCGACTACGATGCATGCAGAATTGGCTGGATTATTTTGGTAAATATCGTACTTCGACATCGACCGGATAGGATACTGGAAACATGCATGGATAACATGGTCATCATCTTGCACAAGACATACAGCATGCATTTGTTTGTGACATGCGCGTAAGACAAACTGTGATGATTCAGACAATCAACGCAGAATCAGCAATTATTATTATTATTATATGCATTTCCGCGGCATTGTCAGCCGCACAATGGCAACCTGCAACCCACATATTCGCACAGGCCGGAAATAGAATGTTCTGCCAAAAACATAAATCAAATTACATCATAAAAAAATATGTTCTGTGCAATCCAGTCAAGAGGAGCATACGACGGCACAGAGTCCTCTCCACCCCGCACGGTCCCTTGTCAGGATCCGGAGGAGCTGCAAGTCACCAAGCGACACAAGCCTTCCATTATCCGATTTCGCCAGGTCTTCCGACAGCTTCGTGACAATTGTGACACGTGGGCGTCCTCGCCAGGTCTTCTCATCGTGCGTGAAATACGTCGCCATTGCCAATGATGCTGGGGCGTCCTCTGGTAAGCGGAGAATGTGACCAAAGAGTTGCCACCGCAGACGCTTGAGAATGTTGGTGATTGGTTGAGCTTTGCACCTGGCGTACAAAGAGACATTCGTCATCTTCTGAGGCCAACTAATGCCAAGGAGTGATCGCAGCTGCTGACGGTGGAAGGAATCGAACTCTGCTCCAAAGCCACCGTCAAGCCCCATGTTCCGCCGTTGTAGGTTAGTACTGGTACGACAAACGCCTGATAGTGCCTCAGGCGCAGCTTCTCACTAATAAGCTCTCGTCGACACCACACAACAAAGAGTGGCCTGAAAGCTGCTGTTGCGAGCTGCTTCCTTCTGATCACGTCTTGTTCATCACCCAGAAGTGACCCAAGCTTACGTGTCTTTCTCCAAATTTCTGCTACACGAGCCCTTTCTCTGCGTAGTGTTGTTTGCTCAGTTTTCTCTTCGTTCACTTTGAGATGCCATTCTCTGAGGACCTCAGTTATGCTCGGGCTGATACTGTCCAACCACGTCCTTGAGCTGCTCAGAAAATCTGTATCATCTGCATGGATAACTTCCTCAGGCAAGAGTTCATCAGCTGGTGGCCTGGGAGGTAACGTGGCCCTGAGGTCAAGTAGCGCTGATTCCAAGTAAATGACAAAACGAACTGGAGATAGGCAGTCGCCCTGTAGGGTGCCGATCGTGGTCTCAAACTCCGATGACTGCTGCTTACACGCGAGCACAGATAGGCTTGTATTGGAAAGAAGCACTCGGATCAGTCGGACGTCATCCTCCATTACGATGCCATTGACCACCGTGGGCAGCTTCTCTCTTGATATTGTGTCGAATGCCTTGCTCATATCTATTCCGTGTATGTCGATCATGGCATGGTACTTCTGGGTGATAGCGGCTAGACAGCGATGCGTCCAGACTGCATCAGCCGTGGATCTGCCAGGACGGAAGCCACTTTGGGATGCACTCAAATAGCTGTCCACTGCTGGCTGGATGCGTCGCAGTGTAAGGAGAGAAAAGGGCTTTCCTGGTTGAATTCAGCAATACAATAGGCTTAAGATTTCCGGGAGGTCCCTTCTTTTTGTTAGGCTTCGGCAGGGGTATTAACGTGCCTTGCCCAAGTTCAATTGGATGATGCGTCTCAAACATGTAATTCAGGCATTGAGCCAGTGCTTGGGCCAGCGTCTCACCTCCGTACTTCAGGCATTGAGCCAGTGCTTGGGCCAGCGTCTCACCTCCGTACTTCAACCATTCTGCATTAACCCCATCGGGTCCACAGGCTCTGTTGCTGTTGAGTTTCTTGACGCACAAATGCATTTCATGAGCTGTAATTGGGTTTTGAAGAGGTCGGAGATCTCCGTGAAACGGGAGGACTGGTGTAGCATCAGGCCGTCTTAAACTGTGTATTGAAGTGGGATCTGATGATGTCAAGGGATTCAGTAGTGTTACCTACAAGTCTACCTTTGTCATCCTCCACCACCGGCTGCTGGGCACGTTTCCTCGTCATTAGAGCAACTGCCTTGAACATCTTTGCTCCGTCCTTCAGTTTCTCAACTTCCTCAGCCATTGCGTCCAGTCTCCTTTCCGCGTCCCTCTTGCATCTCTGTCTAATTTCATGTTGAACCCCGTTGCGATCTTGCTTAAGTCTTGACCTTTCATCTCCATCCAGGGTGTTGATCCAGCTCAATCTGAGCTCCTTCTGATATTTTGACAGCTTCTCAATTTCGGGATCATTCGATTGTTTTCTTGTCTTGGTTCTCTTTACTTGACCGACAGTGCTGTGGGCGGTTTCTTTAACAGCTGTCACGATGTCATTGTAGACTTCATCACATGGCCTGGCATCGTCACAGACGGGATGTATGATGGAGGTCAGCCTCTCTTGGTACCGTTTCTGCATTGCTTTGTCCTCCACGAGTCTACTGGCATTCAGCGCCAGTCCTGTGGATGCGATGCTGTGTCTTGCACTTGACGGCTGACATGCTCCAAGAACACCGTAAATCCTGGCTAGATCCAAATCCGCAACAACACGCTTGTGGTCAGTGCTGATCTCCATTCCTCCGTACCTCCGAAAATTTGGCAGCAGTCGCTTGTGGGATGAACGGCACACAATGTAATCAATTTAGTTGAATACAGGCACTGTTTTCCCAGACACCACGTCTCTTCGAAATCCAGTCCACGTGATTTTGTGCCTAGCAGCATGCTGGAAAATGGTATTGGCCAGATACAGGCCATTGCTGTCACAGTAGTCCACAAGTGACTGTCCATTCACATTACGAATTCCTCTGCCATGACTCTCCACAGCAGTCTCGCCAGGTCTTCTGACTCCAGCTTTAGCATTGAAGTCTCCGGCAATGTAGAGCAGCGTGCAGCCTCTGACCTGCTCGCACGCAGTCGACAATGCTGAGTAAAATGTGTCTAGCTCGTCTGCTGCCTGTAAGCATTTGATCTTGTTGGCGCGTACACGTTGATAACGGCGATGGAGCAGTTTCCCCTCGCTGGCTTGTTGTCAGCATTCTGATATGACTGAAGAGTAAGTACCGCAGCTCGGTCAATAGTTTGCCAGAAACGGTGAATCTTCGCAGCATAGGATGACGATATCGCGAAAACCAGGCCGTAGTGTCGACATTCCGGCGGAAAACAGTTCTGCCGATACCCGCCTCTCTCAATATCTAACCCGGCCACGAGCTTCGTCTCCCGTAAGCAGCAAATGTATGTTGATTTGTACGACGATAATCCCTCTGCTGAGCGCGTCCTGTTTGGACTTCGCCGAAATTCCTCTAACATACAGGGTGGCAATTCGAAATGTCGTTGAAGAACACCGCTTGTCACTCTTCATTCGATGTCTTAGTCTATTTTCCTAGTCTATTTCCGATAAATACATGCCTCTCCGAAGAGAGAGAGAGAGAAAGCGTAACCTTCCTCATCCAAACAGAATCAGCAATGCACCAAGGAATTAGATTGTGAAGCCCCAAAGACCAACTTACTGCCACCGCAAGTGGCGGTTGATTCATCGCTTCCATCCACACAGTCAACCTCACCATCACAGAAGAAGCGCTTTGGGAAGCACTGCTTCTGGTTGCTACAAGGCATGAATGTCGGATTAGAGCAGACCGTGCTGTTTGCTATAGGTCCGCAGTTCATCTCGTCGCTTCGGTCGGGACAGTCCACCTGATTGTCGCATCGCCACTGAGATGGGATGCAGCGAGTGTCGTCTGTGCACTTGATTTCACCACTGCGACATGTAACAGCTTCCAAAGTGAACCAGATATGATAACAGAAGGCAAGAGAATGCAAAGAATCAGCTTTGCTACAGCCGCATTCAACAAATGTACATGATATTGGTTGTGCAATTGCGTCATCATTTGAAAGGCTTTGCATGGAGTGGCAAGAACTGGTTTACCAGTCAATAAAAACTAGCACTGGCTGCTCGTTACTTAATAGGCACTACTTGCAGTGTTGCCATTTCATTTTAGCCAAATATTAGTAGGATAAAAAAATAATGTATCGACCAGGGGCAGCCTCCTATAGTAATACGTACTAATAAGTTCACAGGAGAGGAAGGTGCGCGCAACCTAGACAAGCACAAGCTAAAAGTCTCAGCTGTGAAGGACATTGGCGGGTGTACAGACCCCCCCCCCCCCCCCCATACACCCACCACTGGCACGCACAGTGACGGTGCGTGAACAACGGTACATACTTGGTGCAGGTTGAGCAGTGCCACATCCCATCTCATCTGCATCGCCGCTCTCACAGTCCACCAAGCCATCGCACACCCAGGCCACGGGGATGCACTCCATACTGCCGCTTGTACACTGGAAGTGCGTCATGGGGTTACACGCCTGCACGGCTGCAGTTCGCCAGGATAGACAAGACAAGATGCGCACAGAATTTAGAAATATTGACGGGTCTCCAAAACACACACACACACACACACACACACACCTTTTTTTTAAAAACCTTTTGACACCCATTGCGATGCTACAGCAGAAGCCATAGCAATTTGTGCTGGGATTGCACCATTCAACAACTTCAGTGCAAGGCTGAATAATTGACCACCACTATTCAGCCTGATGAGTGGCTTTTTCTGGCCAGTGAATCTCTAACACACACACACACACACACACACGCACACACACACACACACGCACGCACATACACACACACACACACACACACACACACACACACCTGTCCTGTCCTGTCCTGTAGAGTCACTGCCGCAAAAGGGTCACGTGATCCCATCACTGGGAAACTTGAGAAGAGAGAGAGAGAGGACACGACGCTCGATGACGCTCCAGGTGCACGGGTAGTCGCATCCGCTTGCCGCATATGCACACGTGCTGGAAGGCTGAGCGCTCCTCTGCTGTTGGTCTATGCGCCACCCTTGAACAGCGATGCCTGCCCCGTCCCCGGACACCGCGAAAGCAGCGACCACACACACGCACGCACGCACGCACGCACGCACGCACGCACGCACGCACGCACGCACGCACGCACACACACACACACACACACACACACACTGTACTTACTGTACTTGTTGCTCACTGCCAAAACTGGTCACGTGAGTCCCCCCGGGAGAGGGGAGAGAGACTCGAAAGGAATCTTGGAAAGATGACTCAATTGGCTATTGAACCGCCCAACGGCCGACACCCCCTGAAATCCCCAAAACTCTGGGTGGACATGAAGATGATCTCACTTATGGGCTCACCACACCTCAGTAAGTGGGTGAGGACAAGGTGCAGAAAAAGGATTGACGGCATCAGGGTATCCGTCCCGAGATCCAACTGCAGTTACCCTTGCCCCCAGTGAAGGTAATACTTGCTACTAGTGTGAGTGGCTAAATCAGAGTGGATCTGATAAAAGCTTCACTAGCACCATTGATTACACAAGAGTTAATCTAGCCAGAAGCAGTCCATGGTTAACAGGTATGTATACTTCAAATAGAAAGTATATGAACCCTGGAACCAACAAAGGTGGCAGGTACAACATTACACCTTCAAGCAGCCGAGCCTGTTGGCAACAGACCCAACACAATCAGGCATAACATAAGTGTACCTACCAACCGAACTAGCTGGCACACACACACACACACACACACTCACACAGACACAGACACACACACACACACACACACACACAGACACACACACACACACACACACACACACACACACACACACACACACACACATATACAGTCAACTTCGCTAATACCGACTGCGAATATAACGACAATTCGCGAATAACGACAGCATTTCCATGCCCAGAGCAAAGTCCCTTCCAACTGTAATACATATAATGAGACTTCCGGTATAACGACACTTCGCGAATAAGGCCACTTTTTTGATGCCCCGCCGAGTGTCGTTATAGGCGAAGTTGACTGTACATACATACACAAATACACACACACACACACACACACACACCTGTCCTGTCCTGTCCTGAACATTGCCGTGAAACGGTCACATGTCCCCTCATACGAGGGGCCGACAGACATGGGGTAGGTCGTTGAATACGGTACGCAGCACGCTCCGCAGGCTAGCGGCCAACGAGAGTTCGGGTATACTTTGCGCAGCTGTGGAGTTGGAAACCCCTCTTTGATCGGCAGCATCTGCCACATGCTCTGCAATGAGCCTGGCAGCAGGGTAGTGTTAGCTGAGTCCTCGCCGGCACTGGTACTGCCGCAACCGAGTTGGGCGCAGACAAGGGAGGGTCCGCCACTGTGCCTGTAGAACGATCGTCATCGGGTCGACACTTATGGACAGCGAGACCTCTGGCGCTCCTGAACCATCTATTACACGTCGGGCATTTCCTGCTCCCAATCTGATCTGCAATCGGCTTGCTGCGCTCCTCTTTGCACTTGTGTCGGGCCATACCACTCTTCGACAGTGACCGGCCACAGACGGCACATGGTGTTCGTGGTTGCGGGCGTGGTCCAGATCACGCAACGCTGGAGTACGCCCCCTCGCCATTCACTGCGCTCTTGTGCCAGGTCAAACCATTCCTCATCGCCCAGGTTGAGGCATCAAACATCCGCTCCCACGGCGTCACGCCACCTCTTCCGAGGGCCACAGGCAGGACGGGTCGGCAAGAGGGCGCCACACAGTAGCTGACGTGGAGTACGCTCCTCCTCCATTCTTCACAGATGACCAAGCCACTCCATTCGGCGACGCAGGAGCCGGGTCGGTAGATCGTCTTGTCTGGCAGAGTTCCAGATTGCCAGAACCTCGGTGTTAGTCACGCGGGATGTCCAGATGTCAAGTTGAGTGATGCCCAGGATCGAACGGATACATCTCATATGGAATGTCGAGAGGGCGGCTACATCCCGGCTCAGCGGCACCCAGCACTCAGAGCCGTAGAGCAGCAGGGATACAACACATGCCTCATACACCTGGCGCTTAGTGGCAACTGATAGAATAAGATTGCGGTCCATGAACACCGTACGACGCAGCGCCCCGAAGGCCCTCGATGCTCCAGCAATGCGTGACTTGATGTCATGAGCCGATCGACCATCTGTATGTACGATGGCGCCGAGATACCTGAAGTCAGCCACGCTCTCAACAATATCACTCACTACCATCAAAGGCAAGCGGTCACGTGCTGTGAGTCCGTGGCCGACCGGCATAACCTTGGTCTTGGCGAGATTCACCTTCAGGCCAAATGTGCCAGCAACACGTACAAAGGCAGCCAGAGCCTGTTGTGCACCCTCATGGGAGCTAGCAACCAGTGCAGAGTCGTCAGCAAACTGGCAGTCGTTGTGCCGTTTTACAACGTCCGTACGTGACCTGCGGAATAGTAGCCGACCACCAGCATTCGCCGCCACAGGAAGTCCGATATCCGGAATGTCTGCAATCGCCTTGTACCATTGCTGGAACACAGCACACATGTAGATATTAAACAAGACTGGTGCCATGCAGCATACTTGACGCAAACCATTGTGTACATCAATCTGGTCAACGTCAGCTCCCGCCAGTACCAATGATGTCTTCATGTTGTCGTGAAAAGCTTGGATAATGCGGATGAGTCTATCGGGGACACCAGCTCTTCCCAAGACGAACCATAGACTTTCACGGTTGACAGAATCGTAGGCTTTCCGTATCGATGTTCATACAGCTTTTCCGTAAATTGACATACTGTGAAAACCATGTCGGTACATGATCGTCCACGACGAAAACCACACTGGGTGTCTGGCAGGATAGACTCTGCAAGAACCTGCAAACGCTGCTGGATCAAAGAAGCCACTGCCTTGCCACTGCCTTGCCACTGCCTTGCCACTGCCTTGCCACTGCCTTGCCCACAACCTCAAGTAATGAGATGCCCCGCCAATTGCCACAAACGGCGAGATTCCCTTTCTTGGGGATCGGCACGAGATTACAGTCGACCCAATCCTGGGGGATCTCTTGGGCATCCCAGGCACATTTCACCACATCCAGAATAGCGGACATACACCGAGGTCCACCAGCTGTAACCATCTCGGGCAGGATACCTGAACTCCCAGCAGCCCTACCGCTCGGCATCCGGTTCACAGCTCTCTGAAGCTCTTCCAATGTCGGGACTGCAGCAATCCCATCCTATACCGGTTGCTGTTCGACCATGCAGACGGTGTTCATGTCCACAACGCTCTGAACATTTAAAACACCAGTGAAGTGCCGTCTGAACCTCTGCCCCTGCTCCTCAGCTGATGTGCACAGATTTCATTTTCATCCCGAACAGCAACGACAGGACTCGGGACAAGCCCACTCCGAGCGTTCTGCAGAATTTTGATGCCTTTCCAGACTCAGGCTGAATTAAAGCGCCCTGCTTCTATGTTCCTTGCCTGATCTGCAAACCAATCCGGTTCTTCGCTCATCGCACAGCCGCTCTAGCCCGTGTCCGGGCTGGTTGCTACCTCCCATGAGGGTGCACAACAGGCTCTGGCTGCCTTTGTACGTGTTGCTGGCGCATTTGGCCTGAAGGTGAACCTCGCCAAGACCAAGGTTATGCCGGTCGGCTACGGACTCATAGCACGTGATCGCTTGCCTTTGATGGTAGTGGGTGATATTGTTGAGAGCGTGGCTGACTTCAGGTATCTCGGCGCCATCGTACATACAGATGGTCGATCGGCTCATGAAATCAAGTCACGCATTGCTGGAGCATCGAGGGCCTTCGGGGCGCTGCGTCGTACGGTGTTCATGGACCGCAATTTATCAGTTGCCACTAAGTGCCAGGTGTATGAGGCGTGTGTTGTATCCCTGCTGCTCTACTGCTCTGAGTGCTGGGTGCCGCTGAGCCGGGATGTAGCCGCCCTCTCGACATTCCATATGAGATGTATCCGTTCGATCCTGGGCATCACTCAACTTGACATCTGGACATCCCGCGTGACTAACACCGAGGTTCTGGCAATCTGGAACTCTGCCAGACAAGACGATCTACCGACCCGGCTCCTGCGTCGCCGAATGGAGTGGCTTGGTCATCTGTGAAGAATGGAGGAGGAGCGTACTCCACGTCAGCTACTGTTTGGCGCCCTCTTGCCGACCCGTCCTGCCTGTGGCCCTCGGAAGAGGTGGCGTGACGCCGTGGGAGCGGAAGTTCGATGCCTCGACTTGGGCGATGAGGAATGGTTTGACCTGGCACAAGAGCGCAGTGAATGGCGAGGGGGCGTACTCCAGCGTTGCGTGATCTGGACCACGCCCGCAACCACGAACACCATGTGCCGTCTGTGGCCGGTCACTGTCGAAGAGTGGTATGGCCCGACACAAGTGCAAAGAGGAGCGCAGCAAGCCGATTGCAGATCAGATTGGGAGCAGGAAATGCCCGGCGTGTAAGAGATGGTTCAGGAGCGCCAGAGGTCTCGCTGTCCATAAG